GAGGACCGGGACGGGGTCGGAGCGAGTGAACGGCTGCAAGGCCGAGCTGCGGAACTGCGGCCCCGGGAACGAACCCCGATCCTCCACCCCCGCGCAGCCTTACACTGTCTCGGGGTCGGTGCATAAAGCCCGGCGCCACCGCCGCATCGCGCGGCAGGCCCGGCGCCCCCGCCCGGCCCCGTCACCCTGGCCTGAGACACTTACGAGTCTCCGTCCTCGGTGAGCTGCTGCTTCCAGGGCTCGGCGCCGCGCGGCGCCTCCTGCGGCTCCAGGCGGATCTCCCGCAGTTCCTTCACCATCTGCTCATAGTCCTCGTCCTTCATGGAGTCCAGGCCGCTGTCGTGGCGGTCGTCCAGCAGCCGCTCCTTCTTGAGCGCGTCCCGAGGGCCCTCCATGGCCCAGTCCTGGGCGTGCTCGGCGGGGTGAAACATGGCGCGGTGACCGCTCAGGCGCTGCTCCCCAGGTGCGCTCGGCTGCGGGCTGCGCGCTGCCTTCCTCGCTGTGTCGCAGGCGGGTTAGGACTGTTGTGGGCTCGGCAGCGCCGCCGCGGCGCCCTATAAACGCTGGCAGGGGATTTCTCCGGGGCGGGGTCAGGCGCGGGGAATTTCCAAGCCAGTCAGACCAGAAAAGAGAACTGGCCTCGTCTTCTCAAAGCAATCTAAACCCTGAGCCTGGGTTCATCACAGAAACTCCCAGCGATGAGCCACTGGGGTCATGCACAGGGAACTTTTTGATGAACGCTGAGTGGCTGGAAAGTCCTCCCGGCAAGGCCCCCTCCCGGTACTTCCCTGCAGCCTGCACTCAGTAATCTTGTCCCTCTGCAAGAAGCCTTCTTTTCCCTGGGGTTTCCCACGATCGATTGGATTTGGGGTCGTCTGCTGCAGAGATCCCAAAGGTGCAGACCCACTGGGCGGTTCCTCGTTGGGGTTTGCCAACCTGACGGCCCTTTCCATTTTTTTTTTGATCTTTTGGAAACGCGAGTGGAAATGATGGCTGGGTGTAGGGATTCGTTTCCTCAAACTTCTGTCTGCAGGGAAGGACACACTGACGGGGAGAAGGGCTGCCTCTGCGTTCCTGCCGACACCAGGCTGTTCGCAGTGCAGAGACACGTAGCACTCCCAGCCCCCCTCATGTCGAAGCTGTGAAAGTTTTGGCGTTAAAAACCTAAATGCTTGGAGACCCCTCAAATAATTTCCTCGGGATTAACAATCCTCATGACTGGGGAGGGGTAAGCATTCTGCCCTGTATGCGGGAAAATGCTAAACATGAACAAAAATTTTTTTCAAGTAGTGCAAGGTAGTAGAGGTTGTAGATACCTGGCAATAACAAAATAATTATTGAGGTGGTTGTGCTCCCTGAGTTGCACTGTGCTGCTGCAAAGAATGGATCCTGAGCCTGCATCTGGGTGCCAAGCTGGGCAATTTTCCAGAGGCATTTGGAGAAGGAGGCTGAAGAATGGGTTGAGTAGTGCCTTACCAAAGATTGGGCCTTAAGTCATGGCTAAGAAGTAGATGCTAGGCATACTGCAGAAGGCTCAAGGCAACCTAGCTTTTGTCCCCATCTGCCCCTCCTGATTCCTTGCTCTCCTGCCCTGGGGGAGGGCAGCAGTTGGACCTATACATGCAATGTGGGTAGCCCCTCCAGGCTCACCATCCCCTGTTTTCAACCACAGAAATAGGATTTATGCTTTCCTCTGCACCCTCACCTCCTAGCCAACAAGCTGTAAAGTTCATTGATTTACTTCTACAATTGGTCCAGGCAAAACAAAGCAACTTTGGTCAGAGTTCTTCACAATTAGCCCCAGGAGGCCTCTCATAGTTTTGCAGAGATTTCCGAGGGTTGTTGCAATCATCTTTAACTTGCCTGGCCATGTACTTACCAACCTTTATCCTCTCCGAATTTCCCTCTCCCTACCCCTCACCCCCATATCTGAATGTAGGGAATCTGGGTCAATGAGGGTGACAGACAAAATATGAGGGGGGGAAAAACAGTAAAATCGAGAAATAAAACCTTGAGGGTAGTAATGATCACATGCTAAAATGAAAACTTCCCATCCATAGACTCCACTGTCTCTGTAGGTGTGTGATATACAAATACGATACAATTTTTGAGGCAAAGTGGAACAGCGACTGTAAGTAAGTAGGAGATCTCAATTCTAGGCCCTGTCTCTAATTAAGTGCATGTTAATTGGAGGTATCAATTAACTTTGCTGTGTTATGCCTGCTTTTGTAATAATAAGATTGTATTTAATGCTATTTAGGTTTTTTTTTTCCATCTTAAAAATGGTATTAGTTGGCTACACAGGCATGTATAACCCTGCTTAGGAGTGATCGTGTCTCTTGGAAATTCACAGTATAAATTTTTGGAAGGACTTCAACATCTTATGCAACACATTGTTCTCAGAATTAATCTTGTAAGATAGGTATTGTTCCTACTTTCCTAAAAAGAAACTAAAATGCAGAGAAATTTACCTAGATACCCCATGGCAGTTAATCTAATTTCTATCCCAACATATTAATCATTTGGCCAAAGCAGTTGTAGTATTAACATTTTTGAAAACACATTTTGAAAATGAGACTGAATATGCTATAATTTGGAAGATATGCAAAGTATTTTCAACTCCAATTGTTGGATAAAATAGAGGGTAGATGTTTCCCTAGCTGGGGGTATTCATGTCTGTAAAAATAGTACAGAAAAGTCGAACTCTAAATGCCCTACTAATAAAGGATACCACAGGAGAGGATTTTTAGCTGCAGGTTAAAAATGATTATTAAATTAGAAAATCATTAAAAAAAAAGAAAAAAAATCATGCATAAGTAAAAGTATATCAGAATTAAGTTTCTTTGGTAGCTCTTTTAGTGGCTTTATGTTCCTGATGGCCTTCAGGACCTGGTGGTCTTTATTCCTAATTGTTTAGTGTGACACCTAGTGGTAAGAGTAAGGCCCAGGCATTCTCTGATTTGTCACAGAGCTTTTGGGAATTTTGGGAGGTGCTGAGCCTTGATGACTTGTCCCTATGGTGGGGATTCCCAAGGAGGTACCTTTTGTTTTTCTGCAACCTGGGAGACAGTTTTGAATAATGTGATCCAACAGGTTTTCTCTCTCATCTATAGTTCTCTACATTTAAATCAACAAACATTACAACTTGGGCAATAAAGAACATAGTTGCAAATCAGAAAACAAGCATAAGGTCCTGAAGAAGACAACAAAACTGGTTTAGAAAGACCTTTATGGACTCTTGGGCACTTAGCGTTCTCCCCACCTCATTGTCAAACATTTTAGCTAATCTTGACCATTTTGAAGATGTTAAACCTTAGAGAACTCATTTTTAATGTCATTTGGCTTCTTTCTTTTTTCTTTTTCTTTTTTTATTTTTAATGCAGAAGGCAAAAGAATGAATCAGTTAACCCCGAAGCTGCTCTATATTTTCGTGCAGAATGCAGCCACCGGCAATGAGAGGATGGCCAGGGATGCTCAGGGGCTGCACCGTGGCAGGCACACCCCTCTGGGAAAAGGAGCACCAGTGTGTGATTTCATTTACTTTTCCTGGGTGGGAAATGCACAATGTGGACTGAACCTATGGCCTGAAGTGCCCAGGGGCCTGGCAATGTGGAGATTCTTCAATAAGTTCAGCCAAGCGGTCCAACATATTTGGTTTTACTTAATATCACGGGCAGCGTGTCCTGTGCCAGTTGCCCTGGCCAATTAAACTGAAATTGTTTTAGCCCCAGCATATTGAACTGAAAAAGGCTACCCATTACTCAGTGCATCCAGGCTGGAAGAGAGAGGAGCCATGATAGGGTGCTGAAGGCCCAGTGAGGCAGTCACACTGCTGATGGACAGCACCGTTGTGAAATTCTGAATTTATATTCTGCTTCCAATCCCAGGCTCAGTCTTCTTTCCTCCTCTAGTGGTTAGCAACCACCTCTTTCCATCCCTCTCAGGATCTGAGCTCCCAACCTCTGAATTTCCCCACAGAAAAACAGTTGTCAGGACCTTCATTCATAGTGACCTGCAAATAAGACTGTCAAAGCCTTAATGGGTTTTGTTTGCTACAAATTCTGCACTTTGATGGGGACCAAAGCTTTAAAGGGTATCAAACTCAAATACAGTAATACCTTGGTTTGCAAGCATAATTCGTTCCGGAAACAAAATGCTTATATTGCAGGACATTGCTCGTTTACCACGTTAAAATGGATTAGAAATGTGTGCTCATCTTGCGGAACACTCGCAAACCAAGTTACTTACAATCCAATGTATTTACCTTTAGGGGCCAGACAGGTTTCACAGATGAGTGAAGCTGGCCATGTGTGTCCAAGGGGTGTGGTGGCATCTCAATGAGCTGACCTGAGAGAGCATGTCCCACACACAGCTCAGACAATGTTTGCCAAACAACACTTTGCATTCAGCACTGATGTTATTAAAGAAAAAAAGAAATCAAAACATGGATTTTGGGGCTGGCCAAGTGGCTCATTGGTTAAGAGTTGGCTTGGGAACAGGAGCTCTGAGCAGCAGGGCTGCTAGCTCGGATCCCACATGGGCCATCTCTACAGCTAAGATGGTGAACAACAGCTCGACCTGGAGCTGGGCTGCCATGAGTTGCCGGTGATGGCGTAGGCTGCAGCCCCTGCTGCAGTGGGCTGCCATAAGCTACCGTGAGCGGCTGGCAGCTGGCGTGAGCTGCCGTGAGCTGGGAAGAGTGCAATGATCACAATACCAACATGGGCCAGTGAAGCGACGACCGTCCTCCACAACTAGACTGAAGAACAAAAGGACAGCAACTTGTCTGTTCCCCTTCTCCGATTTCACAAAGCAGTTCCCTCCCCCAATTCCCCAATAAAATCTTTAAAAAAGAACAAAAACAAAAAAAAACACATGGATTTTGATGTGAACATTTTCAAATTTTAAAATATTGTGAAAACCTAACAAAATGCATTTCTGCATCGTTTGGCGACATCGAGCCCACAGGCCCTGAGTTTACAACCTGTTTTTCAGTCAAGGTATGATATTTCCATGGTGCTCTAGGGGAAGGCACCCACCTTCAGCTCCCGTGGTGTCACGGGGTCTCTGCTCCTCCATGTAACCGAGGCTGGAGGTACAGATTCCATCCAGGAGGTTTGGTCTGCCCTGGCAGTCAGGGTTGGAATCAGAGGCTCTAAGTCCTGAAAAAAACTTTATTCCTCCCCCAAAGAGCTGAGCTGTTAAACACTACACCCTAAAATTAGTATAACAAGTTCAACGAAGCTCTGGTTTTTCTCACAATAAACATCTCACTGGGGTGCTCCTGCTCTGCGGTTGCCCCAACCACGTGCCCAGTCTACCTGTTGGGTAACCTGCCATCAGGTAAGGAGGAGGCCTGCATGTGTCATCCCTGCACGTGTCAGCCCCTGGCCAAAATTCCTGGCTCTCCCTTTTCACTGTTTGTAAGCAGTAACCAAGTAATACCTGTAGGGGTGTAGGTTGTTCACGTTCTGTTGTGTTTGGAGAGAAGCAGTTGGATCAGGAAGGAATGTAGGCTTCACAGTGCATTGCTTCCTTT